ACTTTGTCTACAAGCAGAGTAAGATGTGAGGAAATTCCTGTATCTTGAATGTGTTAATTTCCACAGGACCTCAGGCGTAACCAGAATTGACATTTTACCTTATCACTTTTTTTCAAACATCAGTTTTTTACATTGTTGTTAGAATTCCTATATCCAGTAATGTATCAATTATCTACTGAATAAACTTCTACTGTGCAGAATTCATTGTCTACTTGATGGAACATGATGGCTCTGTGGGATACACTGGACTGTTGTATTTACTGGAAAAGGTTGATGGGTCCAACATTGAGAGTGGACAAAGTCCACTCTCTATTAGTGGACCTCACAAGTTATGTCCTGGGTAGCCCTCATTTTCATCTGTCTAACTGGCCTCTCAAACATGTTGGAAGCTCACTGCCTGTAGGGCAACCCAGCTGTCTGTTGTTTCAGACCATTATTCTTGTCCTTCCTTTAGCCACCCTGACTCACAATTACACACTTTTCTTCTGTCAGCTCAGAAAACCCAATTTCAAAGAACCCTTTCCTTCTCACCCCCACCCCATATTAAATTATATTTGAGTGATATTTCTATTTGAAATTATATTTGTCTTTTAATTAATTACTATTCTGTATGGATAGATAAAACTTGTTTTTTCTTTAATGAAAAATGTAAAGTTTTTCTTTTAAGTCTTGAGACTGACTTTTGATTTTCTGTAGCATGATTTGCTACATAGAAGGTTAAAGCTTTTTTAATCTTCTTGATTGTATTTGACTTCACTGATTTAAATCTACTCATCCTCAACCAACAGTAAATACACTTGAGCCCAAACTCACACATGGTTTGCATTTGATTTTAATGGTTATGTGTTTTTACCTCCTTATACATAGTCCACATGACCTTTCCTCCTCTTTGAAGCTTTCATTTGTCAAGTGATTTCTGAAAGAGGGAGCCACAGAGAACTTCACTATTTGGAAGTGCTGCATGGAGGTCAGATGAGGTAACAGGCCTGTTGTGTATTTAATGATCATAATTTCATTCTTACTGTCTATTTAAAGGGAGCATTGATTAATAATAGACAAGTAAGATAGATTTAATTTGTTGATAACCTATAAATTCACAATACCAAGTGTTGCTGTAGGCTACACCAGAAATATTACATGTGTCATCTCATTTAATTCAATCTTCAAAATCATCATGTAGGAAATATTTACGGCTCCCATGGGAGAGGTGAGATATCTGCAGCTAAGAGAGAGTAGCTCACATTCTCAAGGTCACATAGGTAGTAAGTTGGTAGAGTTAAAATTTTATTCAAGGCTGTATCATTCTACACCGATCATTGAAATCACAGCTTTATAATGCAGCTTTGGATAACTATAAATCCACTATAATTGTCATAAAAGAAAGATTAATAAGAAATCTTGTGGTTATTAATTGCTGTCCAGTCGATTCTAACACATAGCGACCCTGTGTAGGGTTTCTAAGGAGTAGCTGGTGATTTTGAACTAGTGATCTTGTATTTCCCATGCCAGGGGTTATCCTATATTACCACACCAGGAGTCTTATTAATAATAATTATTGTTGTTAAGTGCCACTGAGTCAGTCCTGCCCCATAGCGATCCTGTGAATAGGACTTCCAAGGAGCAGCTAGTGAGTTTGAACTACTGATCTTGTGCTTCACAGTCCAGTACTGATCCAACAGTGCCCAGAATTAATTAAAAACCTACTGTCCACAAACACATTAATAAATTTCACAAAGAAAATAATGGTAATCTTTGGATTTTTAGAAAATAAAAAAATTAGATTCCAAGAGTTATGTGCCACATCAATGGAAGATGTCAGTCCACTTTTAAGATACGAACTTTCAGTTCAGATGACCTTTAATAATTAACAAAATAGTACTAGAATGGAGTCCTGGTGTGGCACTGTAGGATAAGCAACGGACTACCAATCTGATGGTCAGCGGTTCAAACACAGGAGCTGTTCCTCTGAAACAATATACAGCATCACAATGAGTCACAACCAACTTGACTACAATAAACAACAACAACAAACCTGAATAAAGGCTCTATCTATCAATACTATCAGACAAAGAACATACTTTGGAGTTAACGTGACTTGCTTGCAATTACTCGGGTACACACATATCAAAGAAGAAATTGGTTTATGTGCATACATTCAAATAGGAGAGTTAGAACTGGTGAATTGAAGCTAAAAAAAGATATTTCTGCTAAATAATAATCTGAATAATCATGAACACAAAATGTAAATGGACTACCTGTGAGTGAGAGAGGTATTATCATTGGAAGGACTCATTAATAAAATTCAGATGGTGTTGAAAAGAGGGGACTAAGTGAGATGTCAGTTAACGGTACAAATAAATGTTGCATTTGCCCTCATCCCTAGTATACAGACTAGCTCTATGGAATCAGGAAACCAAACAACAGTTACAGAATTCCTCCTGCTGGGCCTCTCAGATGAACCTGAACTTCAGCCTCTCCTCTTTGGACTCTTCCTGTGCATGTACCTGGTAACTGTGCTTGGGAATCTGCTCATCATCCTGGCCATCATCTTAGATCCCCACCTCCACACCCCCATGTATTTATTCCTGGCCAACCTGTCGTTTGCTGATATCTGTTCAATCACCACTACAACCCCAAAGATGTTGGTGAACATCCAGACACAGAGAAAAGACATTTCTTACATAGGGTGCGTTACTCAGGTGTATTTCTTCATGATTTTTGTTGGACTGGAAAATTTTCTTCTGACTGTAATGGCCTATGATAGGTATGTGGCCATTTGTTACCCCCTACACTACACAGTCATCATGAACCCCCAGCTCTGTGGCTTACTAGTTCTGATATCTTGGTTCATTGTTTTCTGGATATCCCTGATTCATACTGTACTTATGATAAAGTTGAACTTCTGTATAGGCACTGAAATTCCACATTTCTTCTGTGAACTGACTCAGATGATCAAGGTGGCCTGTTCTGATACCCTCATCATTAACATCGTCATGTATGTGATGACAACAATACTGGGTGTGTTTCCCCTCACTGGGATCTTATTCTCTTACTTTCAGATAGTCTCATCCTTAATGAGAAAGTTCGCTGCTGGGGGCAATTATAAGGCATTTTCCACCTGTGGGTCTCACCTCTCTGTGGTCTCCTTGTTCTATGGGACAAGCATTGGGGTCTACCTCAGTTCTGCTGTGACGCATTCTTCACAGAGAATCTCCATGGCCTCAGTGATGTACACTGTGGTCACACCCATGCTGAATCCCTTCATCTACAGCCTAAGGAATAAGGACATGAAGGGAGCCCTGGGTAGGCTCTTCAGTAGAGCAGAGTCTTGCCCATGATGGTCCCTGATCACAGGGCCAAACACACCAATGGTCTCCAAAATAAAATAGCACAAATTTTATATCTTGATTCTTTTATAATCTCCTAAACATATGCACCATTTTTTTTATTTCTAAGGCATCAATAACATTGCTTTCCGCTGTTTAGTGTGCCATTTTGCCTCAACTATTTCTTCAGTAGTCCTCTTTGATTCTTCTTTCTATATGCTCTCCATAAAGTTCTTTCTTGAGTCAGCTTTCTTACTCCCATTGCCAAAAATTTCAGCCTTCGATTTGTAGCATTATCTGTCAAGTGCTGACATAGTTTCTGCAAATGTTAATCTCACCGACCTTGATGTTTCCCTCCTTCATTTAGTTATATGTGTGCTTTAACTGTAAGAAATAAAATAAAAATAAAGCCATAATCATAGCCTAGTTCTTGTCATTTCTGGACTGCGCTCACCTCTGTAAATGAAACCATCACATGTGCTTTTTTTCTTTTAAATCTATATTGTGAATTATTTGAAGATTTAAAGATCAGCTCATCAGTTGACAATTCACACACATTTTGTTTCATCTCATTACTGGTGGTCTCCTCTATGTAACATAATTTATGCCATATACTACCTGTGTTCCTCATTTCCATTCCTCCTTTACTAATCCATTTAAATTTTTGTGGGTAAATGCTGCTTTTGATTTTAAATGGTTTAATATTCTATGTGTGCATACCTCGGTAGTGTTCGTGCTCTTCTTGTTGAACTATCTATTGTATGATCAAATATTGGGACTTTTGGGTGAGCTCAGTTCCAAACCTGAATGGTCTAAGAGCCTAAGAACCACAGGGTTCGGGATTAGCAGTCTCTTACCAGTAAACCTAATTTTTTTTTTTTTTTTTTTTTGCAATTTTGTGTTTTGTTCCACATTCTCCATACACTGTGTCCACAACCTTGTAGTGTGATCGCTTTCAGAGCAGTAGACATTGGTATGCAGCCACCAGCTAATATATCTAGTCTTAGAGACATGGAAACTATTGTTTACTTAGTCAAATAGTTACTTAGACTAATTATTTCGTGCATTTTAGATTCTCATCACTTTTCTTTCCTCCAGATAGGGAAAGACCAACAATTACACTTTATTGATATATCTTTTTACTTTATTAAAACACTGAGTTTATTTCATGTTTATATTTTTGTCTCCCCACCATTTCCATGTGTCTGACCACTGCTACTATGATGTCCTATCAGAACATTCCATACATACTTAAAGCCAAGCAAAGGGTGGAGTTCTATCTTTAAAAATTAAGCAGCATTTTGGACAACACATTCTTGACAAAGAAACCTGGACAACATTTATCAGACATGGTAGGGAAAGTTGTCACTTTGCATTATAAAAAAGGACAGCAAGATATCAACTGTTACAGAAATGAAATAAGACAGAAAATTTTAGTAAACTGTTTAAACTATTTCTTAAAGAGACTTCCCCACTGCCAGAGATCTTAAATAGCCTCTTGGTCTGTCATATGGAAACAAGTCTTCACATAAGTGATGAATTTGGCTTCGACTTCGGGAAGGAACCAACTTTTTCTATACTTTCTTGCACTTTGATTTAATATCTTTTGTAGAATTAGGTCCTTTCAGTGTTTTATTCATTTTTTCCTGTTTTTTGAAGGCTTGAGCATCTGGCAGTTTTCTGCCAATGTAGGTTTGCAGCCCCTTTTGCATTATCTTTAGCAAAATTGTACTTGCATGCGATATTGTTGTTATAGTCTGAATATGTCTGCATTCCATTGCATCACTTCACTTTGAAATGAGAACAAATATGGATCTCTTCCATTCTGTTGATCAT